GCTCATCCACCCAGTTTCTTTCCCTTTGTCGTTTATCCTAAAACATATCCAAGTCTGCAGATTTCATTTCACCCTGTTCTCTTCCTCTCTTAAGTTTATCCTGAGATTTTGGCGTTTACTGGGTCGCTCATACCTGAGGTTTATCTCCCCTTTCGCCTTTTATTTCTTATTTCTTCTCCTTGTTGTGCATAGAGGCTAAGCAGGGGAGTACGTCCGGTTGGGAAAGCAGATGACCATTCTGTTATTTCTCCTTGAGTCCACCATGTCTTCTTTTCTTGCTTTGCATAGCCTAGCATATCCTGACCTGACCGGGCTCTTTTTCCTATCTCTTATCCCTTCAGTTCTTGATGCGGATTCCACGAACGATACTGGCCTATGCCTGACCTTGTCATGCCAGTCCTTGTAAACACAAACAACTCTGCTGGCCGTATCACCTCCGATTAAATAACTAATGAGATATAACACCAGCCACTCTATTTCTTCCTCTTTGAATTGAGATACTGTTCCCCCCGAAGAGTCACCATTATAGCATGTGATAAGATATGTTCGAGCAAGGGTTGCTAGACGTGGCAGACTCGTCACCCTGAGTATCTGCACATGAGTAAATGAAAAAAAAAAAGAAAGGCGAAGAGAGTAGGTCACCCTGCTGCACAATCGGTGCATCTGGGGAATGAGGGGAACCCCTGGGCTCGGTCATATAACTGATCCATGACATCGGCAGGGTCCCATACCCTCCATCAATTAATAGGAAGAGATAAAATGGCTCTCTTATAATGAATGGTGTGGCACTCCGTGCTTGCCTTGCCCTTCCCTGCCCTGCCCTGACCTGACGGGAGATGTACCCTGTTCGAACCATAGGATTGGATAGTTTGAAAACGAGTTAATGGTATTCCCGTCCTTGCGGTGTGAATAGAGTTGATGCTCGTTTAGATCATGCCACGGCCAACTAGTTTTTAAGTCTTGTTAGTACGATATAAGTGCGTTTGAGAAGGGAGAGTAGAGGAAAGTAGGCAACCGAACCGACCCTAACCCACACTGGACAAGGAGGCATCTCCATATCTGTCTTCCTCCGTGTTCCTTGATTATGGCGTAGTGTACTAGCTTATCCTCTGTCCGTTGAACGGCCAAGTAGTTAAGGGGGTATAGGCCAACGGGCAGATGCCATCCCTACGCCTCCATCTCCGTCTCCATGGCTCTCCACACGCACGTACGTGATCGTCACTGTTAAAAATAACCTTGACCGGGGACTTTCTTCATGCCCAACCATGCCTGCTGTCTTGTTCGTAATTTGATATCAACGAAGATGCTTGCAACTTCCATCCCCAGCTTCCTTGTAGGCGGTTGGATGTGATCTTGCTGACTCATCAGACAGACTCCCTCAGTTAAAACGACGACGACGACACGACGATAAAACGACGCGATGTCGACGTCGATATTGATATCAGGTCACGATGGCACTTAATCTATTCTATGGGGCAGGCCGTTTCCAAGGCAGCCTTCCAGCACATGTCGTCCAGCAGGATGCCCCAATCAGATGGACGGCCAGGCCAGCGTCTCTGCTCGTATCTGGAAAATCCCCCTGGTCTTATTCCGCAAAAACGCAAATGAGAAGAAGCTTAATGAACACGAGAGAACAGTGTTCGGCCTGTGGTGAAGATAGTGACTGACTGATATATATCTTGACCCGTGTCGGTTCTGCTAGACCCCTGGCCTGTTTCAATATGATCCCTATACACATGGCCGCTCCGTGCCGGCATCTGCCTGCTATCATGGCTCTGCCAGCCGAGCTTAAAAGTCCACTATTCTCAACCGTGGATTGATTACAGATATGACAACAGCACGCAGAGAACTTCTTCAGAGACGAGATATTGACATAATAATATCTTCAGCTAGTTATCCGGCGGTTTAGATTTCCATGCACAGGGTCTGCTGGTCTCCCGCTTCCACGATGCCTACACGCAAAACTATATACCCTTGATAGTGGCATCGCTAACGTGGTACCATCAATCCCTGCGAGAATCACCGCTAGACTGGAAAAAATACCTTTCTGCCCCATACGCCGTTAGCGTTTGATATTGCCAGGGAACTAGATATATAAACTTGGGGCAAAAGCCTCGCATTCCATGTCCCCACGTCCCAAGTAATCTTATATTGTTGCACCCGGAAGATACTTTGATATATATGCCAAATAATGCGCCTCTCCACGCCCGAAGCAATCTATTTGGCTTTTATCATTGCGCAGGGTGTCATTCCGAGGAGAAGAATGTTCGATCTTTCTTCTATCTAGCTGTTTTGTTTGCCTTCGAGTCGCTTCCCACAAGGCCTAGACAAGAAGCGCATCCACCCGGTTCATGCGCTTCGACCTACTGGATTTTGACCTCGCTCAACGTGTATGGCTGGAATACCGATGGGGGTAGTGACTGTGATAGCGCATGGTACCAGAGCAGCCGTGGATATCCTTGTGATGTTGGGGAATGGATGGCTGCAGAAACAATGCAGTTCCCATGTCCCATTATCATTCCTGCTCTATGTATATTTGCCCATATGGCGATTGAGATATAAACCCCCCGCATTTCCTCCTGAGATCTTGCAGATTCCTTCTCCACTGCATCTCACCCAGGCCTTGAATCATAGTCTCTCCATAACAGTGATATCCTTACTCATATCTATATACACACGCAGTTATATACCATGAAGCTTTCTCTTGCTCTTCTTGGCCTTGCCGTCTCCCAGGCAGTCGGTCTTGCCATTCCAGACTCTACCCCCGAAAATACTGATGTACCGGATGTCCTTACTTTGACTGAGAGACGCCATGGTGGAAGCGGCTGTCCATCCGACAGCAACACCGTCAGATACTCTGTTGCCAATGACCGCAGATCCATCGTCGTCCACTACCAATCTCTCATTGCCCGGATCAGCGGAAGAACTCAACCTGCTGACGAACGCACCAACTGCCAAGTGAACCTGCAAGTCGCTGGCCGCGACAACTACCAGTTCTCCGTCTCTGGTGCTACGTACTATGGTGCTGCACGCTTGGATCCCGGTGTGACTGGCAGACACGGAAGCATCTACTACTTCTCCGGAAGCCCCGACCAGGTATGTCCACTCTCCATCTACTTTTGTCGTTTCATTGTAAAGAATACCAAACTAACGGCAGCTCAGGCATTCACTGCTACCGGTATCTCTGGCCCTCGTCGCGGCAACTACCATCTCGACAGCGCGCCAAACAAGAGAGTCTGGTCTCCATGCGGAGAGAGCTACCCCTTCAACATCAACACCGACGTTCGCATGGACAGTGACAACGACAATGCCACCGGTGAGATGAGCCGAGAGGACGGCGCTGACGGAACCGTCAGACAGGTCATTTCCCTTGACTGGAGGAGATGTTAAGCATAAGGAGGCCATCCTTTATCTTCTTCATTCCTTTTTCTTCCCCAGCCGTCCAACGGCTTCCCCCCTTTGCCTCAACCTTCTTTGCTTATTCTTCTTATTATTTTTTCGATAACTATATAACGTGGCTCTCCGAGCTTCGTTCAACGACCTTTTTATCCTTTGACGAAGACATGTACACTCTCGACACTCACTGTCGCTATGTTTTTCTTTTACAAATATATATAACTATACCTACCCTGCAAAAATAATATCCATCTCTCTCCCCTGGGTACTTCCGTATGTAAACCGGAGAATATCTGATATCACATCGCGAACAAGGCAACTTGCTTCACTTCTGCAACTACGGAGTATATATCAAAACTTGTTCATGTGAAATACCTCGACTACCCGGACGATGCCTGCTGAGACTGCAGGGCACTAAGGCAAGGGAACGCAGCGCGATGCAGCCACAGCCAGTTTCTATAGGCCGTCTTTGCCTCCCGGTGGATTGTGTGCCCCTGCAAAGTGCGGATTCACCACTGCGATTCGACGCTGCGCCGCAAGCCTCGAGGAGCTTTTCAGCTGTGCTCTCCCTCTCCCTCTCCCTCTGCCCTCGCGGCCGTGGCTCGACCGTTCGGCTTTTCGTCTGATCGCTGTTGGTCGCTGTAACTATACAGCCGTCTCGGTCGTGAAATAGCCTCTATCTGCTCCGTAACTATGTAACCAAGTACATATGTAACTCTGTGCGGTGGTCGCCCTCGGCCGCGTTTTCCCCACCGTCCAAGTCCATATCCTTAGTTAAAAAGCTGCACAGCCTCATCGCATCCAAGATATCAACACCAACCGCCCTGACGGCCTGGCGACGAACGGGTCTCTCGCCCTGTTTCCTCCTTGATCGCAACTTATACTTATCCGCATGGACGAGGCCCCCCTGGCGGCCCCCAGGAGGCGAGCCCTGTTGCGATCCGTTTCGCCGTCCCAGTCTGTGGTTTCAGGTTAACTATCGTGACCACCAATAACAACAACGACAACAATAACAACCAGACTGGCCGGCGGCAAAAGTCATCCTGTACATAGGGAGCCTCACGTCCTCTTGAGGAAGAAGAGCAGCAAAACTCCGTCTATACGGCCAGCGCGGGGAGAAGAGCCTGGAAAGCGGTTCACCGTTGCGCTGCCATATCTCATACACGGCTCTGCTGATATCATGCTCGAGTCTTGCCACTGAGACGAGACGGCCCCATTCGACTTACCCGAGCTGCCTGTTTTGCCTGGAGCATATGAACACAAGCAAGAAGGAGAATAATATTAATATAAAAAAACGGGCACAAGCTTCACCGTCCCCATGGTTTCGCAACCGGCAGCCATGGAACCATCCACAGCTGCTTCCCGCGGCCCATCTTCTGTGACTTCGTCGCGCCGCTCGAGACGCCATCGGTTTGCCAGCCGCTCGCACGCCGGCGGCTCGTCTCACCAGCAGCTTAACGAGTTCCCTGTCTTCTCGACCACCGGTGATGTGGAGATCGTTATTCGTGCTGCAGATCAGGAGCGTCGATATCTGCTGCACCGGCTGATACTGGCGCAGAACTCGGGCTTTTTTGAAGCTTCAACCAGCGACGAGTGGTCGAGCGCCCAAGCACAACGGGAGATAAACGCGGCTCTCACTACCGGTACCTCGAATTGGTCTGCAGGAGATGTTTTGAGTCACACGGGTCTCGAGGTTACGCACGAGTGTGATGAGGAGGATGACGATAACGGTGCAACCAGAACCAGTACGGAGCCAAGGCGAACGTTGACACATCGAACTGGTATTCCACCAGCAAAGACCAAATGGAGGTACGAGTTGGATTGGGAGAATAGGGAAGGGGATGAAGTGCCCATCCTCGTGCAAAAGGTAGTTTCAATTCTATTCTGACTGCCTATATAGCAAATACTAACATACTAGCCAGCCGCCGAGTAGTAGCAAGTCGGTGTTTGGGCCAACGCCGCAGCAGATTCACCCACCGTTACCAACCCGAAGCAAACCTGTGCCTCCCCAGCAAGGCTTCTTTCGATCGATGGCCAACCTGACCGGAATCCAGTCCGCTCTTCACTTGCCCCTCGCAACGCATTCAGAGGAGAGCCTACCCGTTGATCCTACTATTCGTGACTACGACAACCTCTTCCGGATATTCTACAACTACGCGCCACAGTTAAATCCGCACAATATCACCATCGCGTACTCTCAGTGTAAATCACTAATTGCGCTGGCTGATATGTACGACGCCCTGACCGTTACCGGCCCCCGAGTGGACTACCACTTACTGCGCTTCTCCTCGTCCCTTTACAAGCATATTGCGAAATTTCCCGCAAGCTACATCAAACTTGGCTATCAGGCTCGCAGCCGTGTTATTTTTACAGAGGCTCTTATTCATATCGTGGGCGACTGGCCAGTTTCTCAGCCGTTGGTTGGCCGGGACCACAAATCACCGCTTCCTGAAGCAGTACTAGATCTGATAGAAGATAAAGTGGAAGACCTCAAGGACGAAATCAGACGCGCGGAATCAAAGCTTTTCCGTTTAACTTTGACCACCTCACGCGGTGAACGGGTTACCCCCTTTAACGGCTATTTAGACTGGCTCGCTGTATCCCTATTCCGACAGTGGCTGGTTGACAATACCACCCCACCTCCGCCTACTATATTGAAATTTCCAGCTCCTCCAACTTCATCTCAGCGTGATGGTAGAACCGCTAATCCCTCAGCACCCGCGCGCAACGTGTCCACGGCTGGTGGAAGCAACAGCAGTGGCAGCCGACAACATAACCCATCGAACTCAACCTCTTCACGTCGAGTAGCTAGTAATACATCCGCTACCCGTCCTTCTACCAGCCGCCCTTCTACCGCTCGCCCTTCGACTGGGAATTCGGCAGCCAATAGGAACGATGCCGATACCAATACCAAACCACAAGCCCCCTTCTGTATTGGCCGAACATACAGACTCATCGGGTCTTCCAACCTACAGGCATATCTAAACCACGATGAAATCAAACGCTTCCTCAAACTGCATCCAACGTCCTACTCTCGCGAAAATCTCAAGCGATTAGAAGGGAAAATAGATGAACTGAAACGCCTTGCAAGGGAAATCGTCAAGCCACTAATGCGCAACTTTCTCGAGCTGGACTTGAAAAGCTCTAGCGGCGATGGCGATACTTCGGCCCCTTGGCCAGGAGTGACTTATTTGACTTGTACCAGAATCGAGGAAGCCGATCTTCCTTGGTATTAATGACTACTAATAACTAACATCTATGACAAAGTAATATGTTTGAGCCACCAGCCTGTCTTTTATTTCGATCTATTTATATATACCTAGGCAGTGCATCTCTCGACTCTTGTCTTTCAGCGTTGTTCTGTCCCCCTCCCCATCTTCAGTTTCGCTCCATATATTAATACCAAGCTCTACGTGTGAATGCCCTTATGAATCTCTTTTATGTTGCTTGCCTTCTTGAGCGTCTTAATATCTTATCTTCGTTCCTTGTGCCTTGAATCTGGCGTCTTCTTCTGTTTTGGATATACTCTATACAGTTAAATGATTATCTTTCCTTTCACCCAGCCTTGGGATAACGAACACAGCAGCTTGATCAGACGGCGGCTCTTGCTTTTACTTTGAACCGTTGAAAGTTGGTGCGCTTAACTGCCGCGCGGCTATAGGGCGCTTCCGTCTCACCAAGGTTACTCATGTGAAGGTACTCTGTGCTTATTCAGCGGCTGAAAAAGAACAAAAAAGAACATCGCAACAACGGACAGTTCGACGAAGAGACCAAAGATCAAAGGTGCGTTCATCGATTGAAATTCTATGCCGGAGAAAATATCCTAGGAGATACTTCCAATACGTATTTATCCCTGTCGCTGGAATTCACTGGTACATGCATGCCGGATATTAAATGCATGATATATTTCTATTTTTATACCCAACTCTCTGCTAAGGCGTCCAGCCTTGGGATCATGATGTTTATGAAGGCCAAACGAAGCTTGGTCAACCCTTGCTATCTCATTGCCTTTCTCAAGGCTCTACATCAATGTTTTCAGAGCTCGCAACTCTTCATGACTTACTGTGAATATATATAGGAGGCCATCTCATCTGACTTCCAAGGTTGGTATAGGTACAAGGTACCTAAGAGTCGAGCAATCAAGATATACAAGACCAGCATTCATGATTAGATGCCTAGAAGGCAGAAAGAATGGCAATTATATTGGCAGGCTGAAATATTCGTATCTATGTCAGCATCAGCTCCCAGCAGAAGCGAGTTTCGTTCTACATTACCCAAAATTCTCAAGTGCTTATGATGAGAACTGATATCTCCCCCGCCCACCAAGGCCGGTAGCAATGTTGGCATTCAACATCGCGGGTATAAAGTCGAGGTGATGCCTCGAGAAGAAGGACCTTTTCATTCAATCTCCAGAGTCGACAAGAATCCTTCTACAACACCAAATTTCGAACTTCCAACCTCAATTCCCGAGCACAATCACACCCAACCAATAAACAATCAACATGCGTTTCACACCTTTCTTTGCCATTACCCTGGCCGCCGTTGCAAACGGTGTAGCTGTTCAGCAGGGAGCGAACGCAGGAAGCGGTGACGGTTTAACCGCCATTAAGGCCTGCAATGTTGGGCACAACTATTGTGGCTGGTACCTAGCCGATAGCCTTCGTAAGTAAACACTTAGTGCCGGGCTTTGATTGGCTGTCACCTCCCCTTTTTCTTCCGCTGAAAGTTATACTTGACATCAACTTCTAACATGGAGTATAGACTGGCAGGGTGTTCCGAATCGCAACGGCCTTTACTATTGCAGCTCCAAGTATGCTGCGGATTATGTGACATACTGCTCCAAGGGCTGCAAAGGACCTACTGCTCACTGCGGATAAGACAGGGGTACTATGTGATGGATGGCTTAATTACATGCATAATCACAATGCTGTGGGAGTTGGGCTGTAACACGGTTATGACGTTATGGCTAGATAACTGGTCTATAACAATATTATTGCTCCCTACATATAACCTCCATTATTGAATTGAGAGTTTTACAGAGTATTTATAAATGGATAAGAGTGCGTGGCGGCAATTAACACAACCTTGTCTAAGACAGCTTGAAGAGTAAAAAAAGAAATAAACTTTACTTTGTGTGCATAATCGTCATATTATTGGGGGGTATATACATTTATTATCTCGCAATGATATATACATACATGCTCGTTAATAAATGGGATGCTAAGAAGACAAGAGCTTAATTTTAAGGAAAGTTTGTCGTTACATAAAACAAGGCATGAAAAGCATTTCGATCTCTTAAACGCCTTTATGCTGTGCTCTGGTTACTCGGGCTATTCGAGTTGCCAGTTTCAGCGTCATGGTCTGGGTTTGCATGACTTTTCTCGGGGAATGATGTTGTGGTCTCCTCCTGGGTGATGCCAGCACGGGCTCTGTGCTCATCTGTCTCATCATAATCGATGAGGACTTCACCATTCTTGCCGTATCGTCGTGGAGTTTCGTGAGCTATTTTTACCACGGTGAAGATGGACTTGGTCTTTCTGAAGATAGAGTCCATTTCTTCAAGGGAGCGGTAGGCTGTCTCTGGGTAGAAGAAATATACTACTGGAACAATGAAGGCGTTTCTGCAGTGAGAAGTGTTAGTTACCTTGTCCATCCTGAGTCAAAACTTACTTTTGACGTCGAGGGAAACTTACATGACCGCAAAGATGATGTATGTCTTGTATTCGATCGAAGAGAAAGAAACAGGGGTGATCATGACAACCATGAAGTTGAAGATCCAGTTTCCTGAGGTAGCCAGGGCATTGGCTGGAGCACGGATTCGCAGAGGGACCTGGTACATTTGACGGTTAGTAGGTGAGGCTTCCACAATATCTCAGTAAGGGGAAATAGAGAAACTAACAATTTCTGCAGGGTACAACCAAGTCATACCAAGCCAGCCGATGGCGAAGAAGGTGTTGAAAACGAAGAGGAAGACAGCTGCGACGATACCAGCTTCTGTCTGGCCTTTGAAACTAGTGGCAATGGCGAGGACAGCCATGGAGAGGGACATGCCCACAGCACCGAACAACATGAGAATACGGCGGCCAATTTTTTCAACGACAAATACGGCAATCCAGGATGCAATGAAATATTCAGTACCATTGCAAGCTGCAAGGACTCGCGAGAGGAACGGGCTAAGACCAATGCTTCCTTCGTAGATGGTGGCGGCATAGTATGTGATGAGGTTGATGCCAGAAATCTGCTGGAACATCTGGTTGACGTATGCGAGAATGACACGATGCAAGTGACGGTCCTTGTCCATGGTGAAAAGGTCCCTGAAACCGCCCTTCTGCATCTCAATGACGGTATCCTTGATTGCACTGAACTCCGCATGGACAAATCGATCCTCCCTGTCCAGATCGCTAAGTGCAGCCAAAACATTCATAGCTTCGTCTTCCTGGCCCTTAAGGACGAGCCACCGGGGAGACTCTGGAAGGCCCATAACTACGAGCATGATGATGAGAGCAAAGACGATCTGGAAGGCAATTGGGAACCGCCATGTGACTGAGCTGGGCTCGAGGAAGGAGAAGCCAAAGTCCAGCCAGTAACTGATACAGATACCTCCGGTAATCAGAGCACCTTCGACCATGACGAGCTGCCCTCTTCTGTGAGATTTCGAACATTCAGACTGCCATGTTGGTACGGTTGATGTGTTCAAGCCATTACCGAAGCCAGTTACAAGGCGACCGACGATGAAGTGTGGGAGACCAAAGGCAGAGGCTTGGAGAGCAGCACCAACGACCATGACAGCTGCACCTAGCCAGATGGTCTTTCGACGTCCAAGCCTGTCACCGACCCAGATACAAGCGATCGCGCCAACAAAACACCCGAGATTATACGATGCAACCGAGATACCTGCAGTAAAACGTTAGATTGACTCTCAACATGCGCCGCGCATATAGAAATGAACAACACGCACCCTGAATGGTAGATCGGTGGTTCTTTTCAGCCTGGGTCAAGCCCACAACTGCTTCTTTGCTAGTAGCGATTTCAGGGAAGACCTTTTCGAAAGAAGGGAGAGTCAAGAGCCCGCCCATGACACCTCTGAGCTCGCGTTAGCCATGTTTTGCTGTTCCCATGAAACGAGAGAAAGAAAAGCCGAGGTTTATAGATAAGGAGGATGGTTCATACTGGTCATAACCGAAGAGCCTAGTGTTCTCAAGTCAGCATCTGACGTCGTTACAGCAGTTACCGCACCAGCGCGCGCATGCTCGAAAAGCCGGGGAGTTAGTTACTTACAAGAAATCCAAGCCGGCAATGATGCCAATGGCAATGTTCAGCTTCGTGCCCCGAAGGCCGAAGTACTGACGCCCCACGCCCATGGTTTGAAGGTCCCTTTGGAGCTGCCTCGCTGGCTGTTGATTGTGGTGCGTCGAGCGCGTGTCGTTGATGGTAGAACGTCCACAGCTAAGGAAGAGACGACAATCCTACTTGGTCTCAAGTATCAACCTGTCCGTACAACTACCCCAGACCAGCGGGATAATAAACAGCAGCGGATGGAAGAAAGAATGAGAAACAATTAGAGAAAAGAAAGCGGATGAAGTCGAGCTATAAAAAGCTGCCGCGGCGGGACGTGGAGGCCCTTTTATATCGATGTATCATCGCATCCGTTCGCCGCGCTGCCTTTGCTCGGCTTCTCCCTCTGCTCCTCGGGCGTGACACAGCAGCATGGCGATCCACGCATGAGAAGCCGCCAGCGAGATGCGGTTACAGCATGGACCGCGAAGGATCCCTGGCTATGACATCGCTGGACAAGAAAAGGCGTCTCCATATTTCATCTTAGCCGTAACTAACTAAACTCTCGGAAACTCTCAAGGATGTGTCGGGATATTGCTTTTTTCTTTTTTCTCTTTCTTCGTCCTTTGCTTCTGCGTCGTTTCTTTTGATACTTCTGCTTCCTTTGAAGCATGCATGAGGAATTATATTGGATGGTTCCTTGTCACACACACACGAGCCTGCAGCCATGGCATCGTTATGGCATGGTCCTATATGTATGGGCTCCATGAGAGTGTGGACAGCCAGTCTCATTGGGCATCGGGCGTTTGATCCCATCTATATTCGCCGTTTGGAAATCCCCCAGGATACACTAGGGACAAAGAGTTTTGCCCTGACTCGTGGAGAAGAAGAAAGGAAAAAGAAGGGGAAAGGGAATGGAGTCCGTAAGTACGGGGGTTAGCTGGAGGACTAATACCAAGTACACTCCGTACTCCGTATTATGTATGTGCGATGTGGCTTGCCTTCCGTTGATGGAGTAACGTGCCATCCACGCCCAATTTCCCTAACTCTTTTTGCTCTGTTCATGCTGATTCGGTTCCGGCATTCGTTCAATCTCCACAGTACTTACTTATGTTCGGGATGTGATCATACTTCCAGAGGCAACAGAGGCGTGAGTAAGTACCTCTAGAGGGTCAAGGCCCTCCAGGAACATGTTCCTGTGTCCCTTTCTTCGTCTTCTGTTTCCGTGCGTGAAGTATATACCCCAATGTTCCAGGTGGGACCATCAACGCTGGGAGGAGTCGCATATCCCGATCGAGGCAGCTCGTCTAAAGCCAAACGAACCGGCTCGCTTGCGCTTGGCGAGTCGAGTCAAAGCCATGTATTCTCCGTGGCTGTATATAAAAAGCCGCTCTTGAGGTCGCTTTTTCGGCGCTTCCTCCCTCAGCCAAGAAATGCTTATATCAGTGTTTCCTTCGCCGACGAACCTGCCCGGCTGCCACTTTTGGGCAAGCCGGCTCCATCCCCGTCTCATCCCAGTTGGCCGAGAGCTCGCCTCTTGTCCCGTTTACCCGCGCTCGAGGCTCCGTCAGATTGATCACAGCAACGAGAGATGTTGGCACTCTGTTCACTCTACGCCTTTTCGCCTGGGCGTGGTCGGTTCTTGTGGCGTCTTTTTCTTTTCCGGCACGCTGTGCGTGTAACTCACGGTGGGTTGCGCGGGTTAACTAACTGCCCACAGGGTGCAGAAGATACAGAGAGACAACAACCCTGGCATCAAGCTTTTCCCTGCAAAGAGCCCACAGTGGAGGCCACCATGACGTTGGTGGTGTTGTCGATGCTCCCGTTGCATCATCCCTGGCGTTGCTACTAAAGAAAAAGGGAGCAAATGACAATCCTCCAAAATAAGGGAGACTCCAAGTTACTCCGTAAAACGTCGCGAATGAAGCAAAAGAAAGAAGCAGCAAAAGGAACGGATCAGGAACCGCGGAAGGCGAAGGAAAAAGGAAAGAGAAGCTTCGGACCTCGGCTGAGCGGCTGTCGGAGTTTTGTTTACCCGGACTTGACCTGCCTCTTTTTGCAGTTGGCCGGAACTGCCGCTTTGGGTAATCCGCCATGAACCCTGTTTTTTATTTTCTTTTCCTTCCTTTTTTTCTTTTTTTGAACGTCAAAGGATTCAAAGCAACACAGAAAGCAGAAAGATCCATGGAGCAAGTGTTTGTATATCTCAAGGCTGGACGAATCTCCAACGCAACAGCTAACAACAATGTAACCATCCATGCAGCCTCGCAGGTGATGCACATAGTCGAGTACCCTTTCTTGACATCTTGCGTTGCTGAGAGCAGCTGCGTACGAGCTGGGTACGGGCTTTGCGCGTTAATTTCTCTTCATTTTGGGTGACTATCTGCCTAGCTACTACTGATTACCATGTTGTACAAGTTCACGAATTCTCCTGAGCTCGTATCTTCTCTCCTTTTTTTGCCCTTGATTTTCCCTTTTTTTTTCTTCCTTTAAATGTATTTTTCTTGTCTCCCTTTTTTTCGCGCATTTGTCTCGAGTCAACCCTCGTGTTGCTCGGTCCCGGTCATTCTCACCCATTCCTTTGATGCATTCCTCATCATGTCGGTTTTTGGGTTGTCGTTGGAAGGAGTGTCGTGGGGTTTACCAGGCAGAATTACCAGCGTCTCCACCCCAAGCGGCTTCAGGCTCCATGACGTTACCACCAGCACCGGGGACAGCAGCTGAGTCTGGTGTCTCATTGTTGTTATAGAAACCTCCACCGCCGCCGCCGTTTTCATCAGCAGGGGCCTGGGGGCAGCGTCGAATAGTGTGGCCCACTATGGGTTGTTATGGTCAGCATCATGAAAGGGCAAATATGCACATTTCAGGTAGGGGGTCCAACATACTCTCTCCACAGCAGCTGCATTTAACCTTACTCCAGTCCTTCTTTTTGGTGCAGTCGCGACTAAAGTGACCCACTGCCAACGTCCGTTAGCTCACACACTGGTATCATACAGGTATCATATAGTTATATAGATCTTGGATGAGAACTCACTTTCTTCGCAGTTGTGGCAGGTAACAGTCGCCATGTTGCGAGGCTGATCGCAATCTTTGACCATATGATCTTCGCTTCTATAGCGGCAGAATTATTAGCAGAGGCGATAAGAAACGGGGAGTCAAGATATATAAAACGGCCAACTAACCCGCAGTTACGGCAAGCACGAGAACCGCCTCCCTGAGGGCAGTCTTTGGCGAAATGGCCGACTACCATGACCTAGGTGTTAGCTTCCTCTTCCTCTTCTTCTTCTTGCAAGAATTGGGTTGATATGTATATGATGATACCTTCGTTGCAGCGCTTGCATTCAACTCCTTCGGCAGAGCGAGGCTCAGTGCACTCATTGGAACGATGACCTCCTTTTCTGTATCATGAGTTAGCATTGATACGTGGTAAAGCCTCAATGTGCAAAGTACGTACCCGCAGTTACGACAAGCAAACCTATCAACGCGGGCTTCCTTACAGTCACGAGCACGGTGACCAGGCTGCTTGCAGTTGACACACTTGACCTCCACACGCTCGACAACAGAATGCTCCTCCTTGCAGCTCTTCATGATATGGCCCATCTCTTAATGACAGCCAGGGTTAGCGGGGGAAATAGCCGTTGGGAAAGGGGTGGTGGTCTCATCTTACGTCCACAGTTGGAGCATTTGGGAATCTGACGATCGAGAGGGAAACCAGCCTCAGCAAGGCGTTCGAGGTTCTCCTCTGGAGTGGCAGGCCAGCGTTCCTTGAGGTTGATACGCTGGGGCTTGTCACTGAAGTAGATACCGACAACAAACTTGCAGTTGAGCTTTCCCTGGAGATTGACAACAGTGTGGCAATCACCAATTTCGCGTTCCTAACGGATTCTGTTAATGCCCATCAACCCGTCAGAAGTTCATTGCCACTCACAAGCGCGATCAAGTAGATGTTGAGCTTCTCCTGACGCAAAAGCTTCTCAATGTCAACATAGGTGGCAAGGGGAGCTGCCTTGTTGTAGATTTTCAAACCCTATACCCTTGATGTTAGCTAATGTCCCCTCATTCCAACAAAGAGGTCACTTACATCACGGAAATCTTCGAGGTCTCGCTCCTTGCTAGCCTTCTTCAAGATCTCCAAGGCCTCTTCTGGGAGCTTGTCAGGGACATTGTGCTGCTCTAACTTGCGGTTTTCAGTGCATTCCATGGTTTTGTGGCCTGAGCATCGGTTAGATCAAATTATATATCATGGCGAGCAAAATGATCAAACCATACCTTCAGCCTTGCAGTTCTTGCAGATATCTGGGGGACGGTCTGGACATTGGGCAGCTGGGTGTCCTTCCTTTTCGCAGATGCGACAGGTGCCAGTGAAGATACGAGGGTTTGGGCAGTCGCTCTTGTTGTGGCTGTTTAGTGGTGTCAGCTAAAAGATGTCTTTGATGTCAAAAACTGTGGTGTCTCATACCCTTCCTGGCCACAGTTGAAACAAGCTCCAGAGAGCTTTCTCGGTTCCGGGCATTCGCGAGCGAAATGGCCGGCCTGTCCACAGCTGTAAAGCGAGAAGATATTAGATATTTGGGAAAACTGATTTGGCAATTATCTGATACCACACTTACTTGCGGCAGGTATCACCATTCGCGTTGTCATCGGCAGTTACAACAGCCATGTCGTTGGGGTCACCGCCACCAAAGCCATCTCCCCCCTCGTTCCACGTATCATTGCCCCCATCGTTCCAGGCGGCATTGTCTAGAAGCAAAACACGTTAGCCAGACATATTCAAGCTGAACTTGACACCACTCAGTACGGATACGGATACAGTGCTCTCTGATGATATCAAATGTCACCAACGAAAGGCAGCCAGTACTGGGAAGGCCTCGGTATCCAGGAAGTAGAGAAAGGTAACAGACGACTTACCAGCCTCTCCTTTCCAGTCAGCCATGATGGGCAGCCTTGACAGGTTCTCTCTACTATGGAGAAAATAGTTTGAAAAAAGTTTTGGATGAAGAGAAGGAAGAAAGAGGACAGAGCCTTTGTGGAAGGAAAATGTGGGTTTAAAAGGTGAAGGAAAAAATAAACTAGCAAGCACAGCCGCTGACGCGCTCAGGAAAGTGAAGTCAGATATCTCGGCGGAGGGAGGGACGCAGAGTAGAGAAGGAAGCCTACAGTAATTGGCTTTGGTCAATCAGACAAGCAGAATATCAACTAGCAAAGCTGGCGCACTTCTGCAGATGATATTGTTGATGTTGTTGTTGTTGTTATTAGAAGAAAACTGCAAAGACGCGATGAAAGAAAGCAGACGAGAAGGAGAGATTTCCTGGACAACCACAACCACGTGTCTCCCTTAGCAACCACAGAGCAACACAGGGACAGGCTGGTCATGTTAACATCAGACATCTTAGAGTCAGTTTGGAGGGTGCGTTTCACTATTTTTACTCTGGCGATAATAACTGGTATATTGGCTGATAGCTAGTAAAGAAAGAGCTCATGACAAACGCCGGCTGGCTGCAGGACATAAGGCAGAGCAACAAAGACAGATATGCAAAAACCCCATGTAAGACATGTATATATATAAAAAAGGTCTTTGGCTACCCGTATATATTGTTTACGATCTATGTAAGTAGATCATATAACCAACGGTGGGTGTATTACTTGTCAATTGCAGGTTACTGCTGCTGACAAGTACCCATTATGACTTTTGCCGTAGACCTATAGACCTATAACTACCAAACTAGAAGGTATATTAAACACATCAACGTCGGGGATATCCAATGTATATCTATGGTATTCAATTCAAGTTGTGGCCTATTAGAGCCAACTTTGGTATCACCAGCCAAAATGACGTGTTTGACACTGTTTTGATATCAGGTAGCTGCAATGCCCCCTCAACTACAAGGCCGTAGTTGAATACTAACACTGCAATCTGGGTATGTCTCAACACGCAATTTATCCTCTTCCACCCATCACTCAGCAAGTCCTTTCGAGAATGATATGTTTGTTGAACAGTGAAGAAAACACGCCAAAAGTCGACTTGACGTAAGTGACTCAAACGCCAAGATATCTCTTACATAAGCAGCTAAACAACCGCCAAGTTGACACTTTCTCGACCTGCCTTTGAGACTCCAGCTGGACGATGGCTTAATGCGAGCAGCACAGACATATACGGCTACCGACAAGGCGATAAAATCATGGAACAGGCTCAGGTACAACCGCAGGCGATGCCAGGCGACCTTAACTGGCGCCTGAGTGCGCACCCACTCACTCTACTCTTCTTTCTCGGATTCAGGATAGGTATGCGATATATCGTCATCTCCAGGCACCCAGCAATGCACTAGCTTCACGTAGCTACAGCAATTGCCAGGCTGGACAGAAGAGCACTGCTAATTATATTGCTTAGGTAGCTTGCTCATGTACCTATTCGGCGTCCTCTTTATCAAAAACTTGTATGTCCCCGCTCGCAACAGATCAGCCAGGATTTGTCTATCTATCTAGCAATTAAGCCTATGCCTAATTACCTGTTCGCCTGCAGCATCCTCGTTTTCATCATCACTCTCCTCCTTCTTTCTGCCGATTTCTATTACCTGAAGAATATTGCGGGCCGTCGACTAGTGGGGCTAAGATGGTGGAATGAAGTCAATGTGCAGACCGGTGAATCGCACTGGGTGTTCGAGAGCTCAGATCCGAATACCCGTGTCATCAGCGCTACGGATAAGCGGTTTTTCTGGCTCGGACTCTACAGTACCCCGGCCTTGTGGATTGGACTGGCTGTACTGGCCATCATCCGACTGCAAAGTGTGATCTGGCTGAGCCTTGTCGGTATGTTTTACCACGTCACCGAGCCAAGTTATGTGGGCGAAATGCTGACAGAATATTCTAGCAATTGCCCTTGTTCTCACCATTACCAACACCCTGGCATTCTCGAGATGTGATAGGTTCAGCCAGGCTTCGTCGTTTGCTTCGAATGCCCTTTCTGGCGGTATTGCTGGGAACTTTGCTACTGGCATGTTTGGAAGAATTTTCAGATAACCATATCGTATTTCATACTCCATCCATCCATATATACCCATATCTGTGTCGCGATATTTACAGGAATACCTGGATGGGCGTTTAGATACTGCTCATTAGCACATGGGAATGATCTTTTTTTTTTTTTTGGCTCTAAGGCTCGGAGTTGGCGTCATTCTATTTCTAGTTGCTTGCGAAGCCAAAGCTTTGCATGTACTCAACCACCATTGTTTCATGTATCATACCTATGCCATTTTAATGGAGCTGATTTCAAACTGGCTGATACAAGGAGTACTTCTGGGAGGGCAGTGGATATATATATTAAGCAATACTAAAGAAGCAAGAGGTAATACTAACAGAACTATCACAGCTTGGCTCTCTTCTGAGCTTCCATGGCTTTACGCATATGCTTGAGCTCCTCCCGCACAGAGAGATCCTGCAGTATCTCCTCACTTCCTCCACCAACAACATATACCCGAACATCACGACTGATCGCTTCAATTCTGGACCCTTTGCCAGCCTTGTTATAGCCTGCTCCGCCCATAATCTGCTGGGCTTCCCTGCACACTTTCTCCAAGCAGCGCGTGCTCATCACTTTCAGCAAGGCAGTCATCCCTCCAATATCGACTTTCCGTCCAGTTTTCTCGGAGGTCTTGATTGTATATGCCAGCTGGTCCATAAATGCCTGGCAGGGCTCGATGAGCTGGCCCATTTTACTGATCTTTGCCCTGATGACCTGGTTAGCTAGTAAAGGTTTGCCGAACGTCTCTCGTGTAGTAGAGTATTTGAAAGCGTCTTCTACGCAAACGCGTGAGAGTCTAATGCATGCACTTGCGAGAGTGAGCCGTTCTGGGTTGAAGTCTACATCTTATTAGCCCGACAAAAAGGCCCATCTGTCACTTGGGTATGGATGAGAGAACGCACTTGACATGATATACTTGAACCCTTCATTCTCCTTGCCAATAAGGTTCTCCAATGGCACTTCCACATCGGCAAACTCCAGGAAAGTCGAACCACTTGCATGAACGCCGGAATTGAACATTCGTCGCCTGGTGACTCCCTCTGCCGTCAAAGGGATGATGAGAAAGGATATACCTCCATGGCCCGGTCCACCAGTTCTGACAGCGGCAGTGCAGTAGTCCGCCCAGATGCCGTTGGTTATCCATTTCTTTGCTCCGTTGACAATGTAGCGGTCACCAACTTTCTTTGCTACGGTCTTGATCCCAGAGACGTCCGATCCGGCTGTATTCGTTAGTAGGCATGCCTCATGTAAAGACGTAGCTTCTTTGTAACATACCGTCTGGCTCAGTGACCCCTAGACAGAATCTGATCTCCCCACGAGCAACTTTAGGCATGTATTCCAGTTTCTGCTTCTCAGTTCCGAAATTCATGATGGGCGGACATCCAATGCTGTTCCCTGCATTTAGACCCCAGATGGGTCCAGTGTATCCGACTCTAAGAACTCAACCCGGCATCAGTATTCACAGTAGTTATAGAAATGCAGAGATCCCCAGCCCATCAGTCTGTCTAACTACCTGTTCAACTCATCTGTCACAATCAGGGTGTGGAAGACGTCCCATTCTTCCGGCGCAATGCCCGCGGGCAGGCCTATTCCACCCATATACTCGGGCTTGGACCTGTCTATGACGCAGAAGCCATTCTTCGCAAACCTCTTGATGGTCTTTTCTCTGTTAGCTATAACTACTGGAAGAGGGTATAAGATGAGATATAAGTAAATAAGCAATGAGAACGAACTTCATCAGGGACAAAGCCTTGTTCTTCCCACTCCTGGGCGTACGGCATCAGCTCCATCTCCACGTACTCCCGAACAAACGCCCGGAGCTTCTTGTGAGAGTCATTGTGGTAAGGCGAGCAGTCTCGCGAATACCACTGGGGTTCGGCATAGGGGACAGGAGACCCAAAAGGAGCATCCATCTTGTGTATCTGCGTATGTTGTTTATGGCAGAAGTTCGCTGGCATGTGTTAGCCGGTTAGTGATACTTATCTCGTAACTCGCTGCCAAAAGCAATACCTAGTAAATAATACAAGCTTATTTTGCTTCCACCCGAGGTCTGGATAGAATGACATCGAGCTCTCATAGTCCATTGTAACAACAGCCTTTAAGCGGCATTTGTTTTCATTTTCTAGATCTCTCTCCCTTCTATAACTAGTCCACAACGGCCGGAAAGAGGTGGCATTCACTTAATCTTTCATATATTCAAACAGGCTACCCGTAACTAACTACCTAGCTTATTTAGCAGCTAGTTAACTACTGTCTTAGCTCTTACACGCGACCGTTAGATATCATGGAACTTGTATAGCCGGTGGCAGGTTCCTTTTGGGGGGTGAGCCACCACCAATAACTATATAGGTATCTATATAGATAGGTATAGACGGAACCTTGATTAAGTACTGTGGCCTGTATAAACTCTACCACGGTATACACAACCAGCTGGCTAGCTGGCTAATCAATGGGATGTTCTCACAGCTTCGACGGTTTCCAGACCGGACGCCGCTTCTCCTTGAAAGCCTGCATGCCCTCGATCGCATTATCCCCCAGCATCAGCTTCTTTGCGTAGTTGTCCCATATCAGGGTCGAGGCATGCTCCACGCTCGCCGTCTCCCAGCCCTGTCTGACGCCGGCACGGTTGACGATGATACTGTCGGGACTCATGGCAGCAATGCCACTGGCCATCCTGACGGCTTCCTTGACCAGGTCGTCAGCAGGAACCACCTTCTGCACGATACCCCATTCCTTGGCCTCTTGTGCGGACAGCGTATACGTCAGCAGGGCCAGCAGCATCGCTCGCTGCAAGGTGAGGTTCCGGGCCAGTCGAGGCAGGCCGCCGCAGAGTGCGCCTGTCCCTCGAGCAGAGTCGGGCAGCTTGAAGTCGGCGTGGTCTGCTGCGATGACGAGGTCGCTGTTTAGCACGATCTCGAAGCCGCCGCCGTGTGCGTGGCCGTTACAGGCTGCTATTATCGGTTTCTTGCCGGTGCGTCGAGTGAGTCCCGCAAAGCCAGTGGGAGGGTAGGTCACTGCCTTTGCGAGAGCGAGTTCACTGAGTTTCTCCATCTCCAGACGATCTAGGGCCGTGGTTGTATAAAAGTGAGCATGGAGGCGTGTAGTTATCTTAGGTAGTTTATATAGTCAATTGTGTATAAGACGAACCCTTGATGTCCATGCCAGAGCAGAATGCCTTCTTCCCAGCACCGGTGATGATGCCAACTCGTCTGATAGAGCGGTTAGAGGAGCTGTGGTCTCATGGCTGTGATATTTGTAGGAAGGTAGGAAGCTCTCACATCTGTGGTTCCTCGTCCATCCAGTCCCAGAGTCGGTCCAGCTCCCACGCTGCCTCGAAAGAGAGCGAGTTCATCTGAGCCGGGCGGTTGATGGTCACCAGCAGCACGTAGGGAGCCGGGAAGTCCAGCTTCACACAGGTCATGGACGGCGGTTGGGTATCAGTAGGCGCCATCTTGACTGTTGGCCAGTCGGTTAACTACCTAATTATTATAACAGTGTTGTGTTATGTCGATTATGATGATGGCAGAGAGGTCAGGTCCAGCTGTCCAGCTGTCCAACATGTCAATAGTTAAATATAACAGCAGCAGCAGCGGCAGTCCCAGTTACATATATAAAAAGGGACGGCCTCCTGAAGGTTTCTAGCCCCAGCGATGGCGCGCGAAGGCTTGAGGCTTGCTTCGTATTTGATTCTTCGAGTTAAGTCTGGGGTCTCGTCCACCTTTCCATGCAGGTCGACAGCTAAATAACTGACAGCCAACAACAGCTCGGCTTCTTGCAAGATGAAGACATGAGCATGTGAAAGAAGCAAAAAAAGAAGACCGTTGCAGCTGCAGGGAAGATGCAGTTCGCCCTTGGTTCATCCAGGGATCAAGGGGTTCGACTTCACGATAATCAACCTCAGCTGAGCTACAGAATATAATAATATCGACCAGACTATAACCTCGACCTCTCTCGATCTCTCAGGGAGCTCGTATCGCCTCGGCAAGCCCAGCCTGATACGAAGGGCTACGGCTATGGAGAAGAAGATAGTCGCGAACGGAGCCTGAGATGGCAACGAACGGACGCACCTCTCCACGGAAGGAGAATAGGGAGAAAGAGATAGCCTTCTTTCAGTCCTCGTCTGATCGGCAGCGGGCCGTCTTATTATTACATCCTGGACGCTGGACGAGCGAGGCTACCGTTCAATGCAAGGTGCAAGGCGTGGTGACGAGATCCTGGCCTCCCTCTTACATATTGATAACTTGCTTCAGCCGGTTATGACGAGATGCCGTATCAATGGCACGGAGTAAACCGAGGATAAGCTGGCCTGCTGCTGTCTATCTACCGCTACGTGAATTGGCTATATGCAGAGCCTAAGATGTCTATTAAGGGTTCCTGCATCTGTTGATATTGCCACAAGAGGTCTCGTGGCCAGCAAAGACAGGCCTAGCTACAAGTTGCCGAGGTGACGTCCATATGCTGGTCCATGGCATGTCTCTGATTGATCTCATATCTTGCTGTCGGGCCAGGGGGTGGTGCATAAGTCGAGGGGACGCAGCATGTACTGAGTATAGACAGAGGGAACTTAGTCGTGAGAGACTATGAGGTCCCTGGGATGCATCATAAGCATCTTTACCGTGTCCCTTTGACTGCTTCATGTCTCTTTCCCTTGGCCGTGCATCTCTAGATATGATGGCCGAAGTCATCGAGCAATAACTAATAAAAATAATAATAATGCCTTTAGAGCCAGCGGATCAACCTGTTATCTAAATAGTTAGTCCTTATATACATTGCCTTCTTTAATATTTATGTATAATCAAGTGATAGTTAGCTAGATTTATAAGGTAAAGATGAATACTTGTCCTGTTGAGCTGCCGTTAGTTGTTGCATATTAAACCATTCGTTCGCCAGGCTTAAACCTGAAAACGCCCGAGGCAGCAGCACGAGCATCATCCTTGGGAGCCGTGACGCGGTGTAATGTCAGACGCTTGCTGCTGTTGTAGTTCTCTCTCCGGACCCAGAAGAACCAGATAAGGACGGTTGCAAGCGTGAGTGGCAGCGCAACTGCCCAGTATACCCATAGAAAGGGCGATGCCTTTGGCGGAGACGACTGATCGCCCCATTGGAACATGTCCATGCTAAACAGCGTAGCCACAAAGGAGCCCGGCAGGTATATGATCCCAAGAATCGAGATGGTCCTCATAGCGATGCTGTCGCGCTTAGTATCTATGGCTATAGCAGCAGTGTATTCAGAGTCACTCTGCGTGATATTGTTCAGCATCTAATCGAACGCGTCAGTCAGCCATTGGTAGGTAACTAGTGAAAGATGAAAGATGTAAGATGAAACTCACAAACGCAGTCTGGCTCTGGGTTCTGTCCGTCATCTGCTGCACCTGCGACAGTAGCATGGCGGTCCGTCTCCGCATGTACTCTACGTCTTCGCAGACCATCGACTGTGCGGCGCTGAGACTGTCCAGGAACGGGTTGGGAGGGCGACCTACAGGGCAGCTGTCCCTATCCCTGATTGACTGGACGAGCCAGTCACCGCAGCCTAGACAACACTGCGCCGCATGCCTGATGATTGCGAGGTCCGTCTGGCAGAAGCTTAGTTTTTGGATTATGGTCTTTGCGTCCTCGAACGCAGGCGGTTTATCGACGCTGCGACGGCGGCCGGGGTCCATGATCCTGCCCGGCTGCCCGTAGCCCGTCTGCCGCTCGATCGACAGGACTGCATCATCGATGCTGCTGCGGTGTATCTCGATCTGGTAGTGGTGCGAGCGATACAGCGCGGCGACGAAGGCATGGGGGTCGAGACATCGCTCCGGCGCCGCCAGCAGCGCGGCAAACACGGCGTCCTCGTCCTTGAGGTGGTGGTACAGGACGTAGGTCGTGCGGCGAGACGGGTCGAAGGTTACAGACACGCTGTCGAAGCCCGTGGACCGCGAGCTGGCGACCTTGAGGATCAGGGACAGCCGCCTGGTGGTTGGGCAGCGGAAGGTGGTGAAGACGCCGTTGTTGGAGAGGAAGACCTCGACGGTGCGCGGGTGCAGCTTCCACGACTCCTGGAGCGCCTCGAAGGCCTGCCTGGGGAGCGACAGCGCGAGCCTGCCGGGCAGCAGGCGAGGCACCGACAGGACCCTGAAGTGCCATCGCTTGGGGCCATCGCCGTCGCCATCTCTCACGGCTTTGCCAGGCGTGTCGATGAGGCCGTCTTCGAGCTGGTCGAGCTGGATCTGCGCTTCCGAGATGTGCGTGCGCCCTGCCGAAGCGCCCCCTGTAGGACACGAAAACGAGCCTCGCAGCACCCTCAGGCTCTGGCGGCCGTCGATCCTGGCTGGGTCAGCCCATCTGGCGAGCTGTTCCTCCCGGGTCTCCATGGCTGGCAGGTCGATATAGATCTATGTAGATCGATGTTGGGCAGGACGAGCAAGTATCTGTGTGTGCAGCATTTGATGCCCGCCGCCCGTTTCGTATATCTACGAGCCCTGCATCGGCTCGACAGCCTCGTCCGCTCTTCGTGCAGGCCAATCGTCTAGCTCAGTGAGTTTACTAGGAAGATGTTTAGTTGATGTCCAGAGCAGATATCAAGAGACGCCATGGGCAGGTTCTACAGTGAGCTATGAACCGGACATAACTATACATACGGACTACGTAAAGAGCATGTATAGATCCTGTTCTCTATCCTGTTCTCTAGAGATCGAGATGCATGCTGTAGTCGCGCATGGCCCCATTCTACTCCCTGCCCTGTAGGGATAAACAAGTCGATATACTGTTACATGCACTCCAACATCTACCCATTGGCTTGCATCTTCCCAACAAGCGCATAACCCCAGCTTGCTGCGCATCTGCCCGGATGCAAGTCCCTTTGAAGTATGCTTTCATCGTAAGTCTCGACTTCTAGCAGGGAATTAATTCTATTTAAAACTCCTGGGAAGTAGTTAACTAACGGTTCGCACTTTCAAAAGTGTATAGACCTAGCAATATCCATCCCTACATGCTTGTGGCATTGCACCGCCCTTTGCATCTCGGGCCTCATCCAACAGCTATCAACTATCAACTGTCAACTATCTCACCGCAGGCAGATCCCGGACGGAGAGGGAAATGCTCATAGTAGAGGGGGAAGATAGTAACTCGGCCATATCTCGTAGAGGATACTGCTTCAGTGTATCTGCTATACTGTCTGTCACTCAAAGTATATCTATTCCACCAGTTCATAAGAGATCTTATCCCTACTTTTTGATTGTCCAACAGTTATACCAGATGCATGGCAAAGTTAACTATGCATAGGGAAATGCTGGGGATTGTTGGTATCAAATTTGGCCCCTAAAGTTTCCATGATGGTGGTTATTCCAACATGGAACAGGGAACTTCGCTCTCTCAGATATAGCAACATCCCGATAATCTGTGGTTGACTGGAAGACGACGGGGATTCCAGGGGAGCTTCAGTCGAAGACCATAGGGGGCGCAGCTTCGTAGAGGGAGGGTATATAAAAGAGTAGAAGCACGGCGGCCTTTGCTGATGGGATATCATACACAATCACATCAATCAAAGCCAGCTTCCACTACATCTCACTCAACATAAAACCCAAAGATCAAAGACCAAAGACCCTACAGCCACCATCCTCAAAGATGCTTATTAGAGCCTTTATCCTGTCCCTCTGCCTTCTCAGGTCATCCGCTCTCCCTGCGCCGGAGAACCTTTCTCCTGGTGATGGCATTCCGGGTGGAAACGCCAGAACTGCAGGTGTCATTCCGGCACCTGGGGAACCATTGCACGGAAGACTCCCTGAGCTTAACAAGGACGAAACAAAGAGTAAGAGACAGTCATTCCATCCTGTACCTGTAGATGTATCTATGCTGACCTTCTAATAGAAGCAATACGCCTCGCGGAAAGAGGGATGACCGGAGAGGAGCTCCCAAAGTACCTCATTTTCGCTGGACAGGCATCAAATGTGACGGAGCTAGATACCGGCGTGATCAGTCTTGACTGGGATTGCCCCGACGGCGGCATCGGGACAGCCTGCTCCTGGAGCGGTGTACCCATAGTGATCAGGATTGCCCTTCTTGTGGAACAAATCGACACTCTCAACGGCTCTCTGGGCACAATTTCGGCCGTCGACGGATGGCATGTCGCTAACATCAATACGCCCGATGAAATCCGCCTGATGGAGAACCATCTCTCGCTTATGCTCTCCACCGAGGTCTACCATGTTGGTATTTGGTATGGTGAAGGGCAAAGGACTGTGCCTCTATCTACACGAAGTGTGGACTCTACCACGGCCACTCCGCGTCATATCTTTGCAGGTGACTTTCAAGGCCATCCCGTCCACTTCACCTATATGGGCCAGGTAAATAACAACACCCACTTTCGATTTGGATACGGCCTCGGCCCCATAATAGCAGAAAATCGCCGCCGCATGAACCGCCGTGAGACGCTCACGATCAATAACCAGTACTTCGACAAGGGCGGCTTCGACTATGCTGGAGTAGCGCCAGGCGCGGCTGCCTATCTTAACCCCGACAATCAAGATGACTTTTTTAACTGGGTTTCAGAACAAGTTTCCTGTTATTTTGAGGAAATTGATGATTTCCCACTCGCCCCTGCACTCCAGTTCCAGATCTATAACTCGCTTGACAAGATGACTCTGGCGGCGAACGTTATAGCACCCTTCACCAAAGACTCCGAATCAGCTATTGGGAGCGTGGAACCGACAGGCGGAATCATCATAAATGATAAGTGTGCCTACAGGTATGAGGATCCGCATGGGTGTGAAGCGTGTGAAGATGAAGAGTATGAAGATGAAGAGCTGCAATAGCTGTGATCAGTACTCGGGCGTTGCTCAGGTAGCCACTAGCAGACTGGACATTCTGAGCGTGCTAGTTGTTGGTCCCTTTGGTTGGTCGTGGAGTGTTGCATAGTGTTTGGCAGATAACTGATGTAGATAGTTTATAGAGCTTGATATAATTGATGACGTTAGACAAGACAGATGCTACATGTGGATGTATAGTTAAGCAGTGGTGAAGACTAGACTCCCGCAGGTGCTTCTTATATAAGTAGAAAGTCGCGGTTAAGGTTGGTTATAACCTGCGCTACAGATAACCCGGTTATTTAGGGGGTCGGTTATAGCTATGTGATTAGCTTAGTAAGCAGCTGATTAAACTCTTGGTTGCAGTTAGTATGGCAGGTCTTTAGCCAATGAGCAAATGATTTAAATATGATATAAAATTAAATATATCGCCCTCCCTATGTACCTAATATAATAGAGGCAAGAGAGGTAAACAGAGCCATATTACATCTGCTTGTGTACATAACAGCAGGTATTCAGCCCCTGTAATATTCAACCGGGTTATTTATAGCTAGGCAGTTAGCTGGTGATGCCGAGAGCCCTGGTTATGTAGTTCATTAACTATACATAACTACTACTAGCCCGGGTTCCTCAAGCTACGTCAGGCTACATCAAGCAGCAGACCAACAAGCCGTCAATTGTACGGCAGCAGACAGGGCCGTCACGATGGCCACCAAGAGCGTCCTTAGACGAGCCCTGCTTTACGGTAAGCTGCAGCCATAGCTTGCTAGCCAGCCAGATACCTAGTATCTACCTACCCTGCTAACCGCCGTCCAACCAGTCCCTGGCTCATCACAGCGCATGCTCGACAAGTCCCGAACACTCTCTGTCGACTGCGTCGCCTACGACCTCGAAGACAGCGTCACTCCGTCCAAGAAAGCCGAAGCTCGCAGCCTGGTGCGCGCAGCTCTCGACCTGCCCTCGCCCGCCGGCGCCAGGGAGCGGGCAGTACGCATCAACTCCGTCGGCAGCGGGCTTGCTCTAGCCGACCTGACGGAAGTGGTGAGCCATACATACCACTCACATTCCAGCATAGTAGTTATATATCACCAGCTAACACGGCGTGCGTCAGCTTAAATCTCCCAACCTCTCGACGCTGGTGGTGCCGAAAGTCGACTCAGCCTCAGACCTCACCTTCATATCCGACGTGATCTCACATACCCTCTCCACCGCCGACGCCCACCTACCGCGTCCACAAATCTCCATACTCGCCCTCATAGAAAGCGCAAAGTCCATCACCAACCTATCACAGATATGTACCGCCACGCCGCTCCTGTCCGGCCTGATCTTCGCTGCAGAAGACTTCGCGCTCGATCTAAGCATCACTCGCACCCCGTCACTGAATGAATTCCTCTACGCCAGGAGCGCCATAGTTACCGCCGCAAGGGCCCATGAGCTGCCTTCCGCCATCGACCTGGTCTGCACGTCGTACAAGCAAGACGGAGACGGCATGTCGGTGCTAGAAGAAGAGTGTTGGTCCGGTAAGAGGCTTGGGTTCAATGGGAAGCAGTGTATCCATCCGACGCAGGTGGAGAGGGTGCAGGGGATTTTTGGGCCAGAGCAGAAAGAGGTCGAGTGGGCTGTTAGGGTTGTGGTTGCGGATGAGAAGGCTGCGAGGCAGGGAAGGGGAGCATGGACGCTGGACGGGAAGATGATTGATGTCCCCGTTGCGGAGAAGGCGAGAGCGATTGTGAGGAAGGCTGAGGCGTGCGGGTTTGATGTCGAGGGAGTTAGGGAGAGATGGAAGCATCAGGAGCCGGAGTAGTTAGACCTATATCTATCTCCCCATCTACCTATATATATATATATATATATCTACTACGATGTCTACGATGTGATGTTACTTGTTTTGGTTGAATACGGGAAGAACTGTAAATATTAGAATCAAATCAGATAAATCATTTGCATGGTCTAAGGCTCTCTAAACTGGATAAGCTTGTTTGGTTCAAAAGCCGACTGAGGAACCAGGAGGAGTCGTCTTATCATAAGAGACAATAGAAGAAAGCACAAAAAAAGGCAGGAGAGAATCTGCCAAATCCAGGAGAAACTGGTAGCAAAGTGCCGAATGTTCAGACCATCGATTAAAAAAAGTAGTAAGTTGTAGTGTTGGAATGTACACGAGTAGTCGGCCTGCATGATTGAAATGGTGCAGGTTGAAAAGGATGTAGAGGTGACTATCGATTATCTCTCTGTATATTGTTGCTTTGTGCTGAGCAATGGTCATTCATGTACTGTGCTTGTGCTTGCGTCTGTCGTAAAAACATCTCGTTCGTTAAATGTAGCGTTGGCTACTTGTTGGAAGGAAAATTATTGGTGTGACCTAAACTGATCAGGCTTGCTTGCTGCTCATGCTTTGGCTGCAGCTCCCTCTCGCTTCAGTAGCTGTATCTTGCCCATCTTGAGGACGGGACCAGGCTCGGGGGATGACGAGGATCCTTCTGCAGTCACACTTCCATCTTCGTCGCCAGTGTCATTAGTGGCGGTGTTTGGATCAGTAGTATTCGTGCTAGCTGCGGCAGCGGCAGCAGCAGCAGCAGCAGCAGCAACGGCCTTGCTGATCTCTCCGGCGGGCTGGTCGGTGCTCTGATTCTGGTTCTGGTTCTGGCTCTGTGTCTGCATCTGAGTCTGAGTCTGGGTCTGAGGCTTGGAGGCAGCGGACGACGGGGATAGTGAATTTCTGTCACTGCTAGTCGTTGCCGTAGTATTGATGCCAATGACAAAGGCAACAAATCCACCACGTTCGCCGGGCACACTGAAGTCGCGGAACACATAGCTGTGTTCCGTCAGCCAGCCCTTGACGGCCTTGCCAACCTTGTCCTTGCCATTCTTGCTATGGTGCCCACTACCGGTGATGACGTAGAGGTAGTGCTCCCGCAGCTGAGAGCTCTCCTTCAGGATGTTGTCGAGGTACGCGATCGCCTCGGTCGGGACCAGACCGTGCAAGTCAACGTAGAACTCATCGTCATTCTCGGCAATGCGCTTACGGCCCTCTTCGAAGAGCAGCCTGGCAGCCTCTCGGTGGCAACGACGCATAGCATCGTTTTCAGCCTGACCTCGGAGCGACAGGGCCTTAGCAGCCCGCGCATCGTTGCGGTTCCAGGCTTGCGCAGCACTATAAAACGTAGTTAGTTAACACGGTCCAAAAAAAAAAAGAGTAAGTGAGGGATGGTTTTACCTTTGAAGGAACTTGTTCCTTACGTTACCGTGGGTGATGGCATCCACACGGTACTTCAAGTAAGGCTGCGTCCACTCGACACCGGTTTCGAGCCAAGGGATGTGCTTTGGCGACGGGATGGCCTGAGCCTCCGCGCTGATCTCTCTGGTGTTATTGGCGGCAGAGGATCGAGCTCCCTTCTGAGCTCCCTTCTTCGACGAAGGGGACATGCGAACTGCGTCGGCTAATGACGTACCGGACGCGTCTCTGGCAGCCTTGGTAGCCTCTCGATGCTGGTTACCACGTTTACCGTGGTGTTTCTTGCCGGGACGACTGTTGAGAGCCTGAAGCGTCGGGAACGCCTCAGGGTCGTCCACTGCGGGAGCAGAGGTGGCTGGCTGCTCGCGGCTCTGGTGCTTGCTCCCAGGCCGCGAGTGAGAACGTGTAGCTGACGGGTTCAGCATGTTCTTGTTTTTGATGCTCGACGACGAGCCTGGCCTCATCTGAGGGCTACCGGCCATGAACTGCATCTGGGTCCGATGGTGCCACTGGTCGGCGATGCTGTTGCTGTTGGTGGTGGCAGTTGCAGCAGAAGAAGCGGTCGAGGGAGGTTGGAGAGGAGGAAAGGCCTCGTAGTTGTCCTGCAGCGGATAGACGCTGTTTTGCTGCTGCGACGCTGCGTGCGCAGAGTAACCAGAGACGCTCAGGTTGTCGCTGTTGATGCTCATGCCTCCTATTAAAGAAGACGGATCATGCGAGAAGGGACAAGACTCTCCTGCAAGACAGTTGCCCATAAGCCAGTATCTGTGCGTGAACTATTAGCATAAGAGTCTTTTTGACGTGATAAGGAACTAGGTATAGATATAATAAACAAACAATGGCAGACGTACTTGCAGACATGGCTGGTGAGATCATGGCTGAACCGACAGTCCATGCGAAGACACTGGCCAGTGGACAACCAATATTTACAGACAACGGGAGTCCGCGCAGAGCTGGAGGGCGTCAATGGCCGAGCTGGATCCATGGCCGTAGACTTGCCGATCAGAACGCGGCCTTCGTTGCTGGAAGAGAGAGACGGCGTTTCCAGGTGGTGCTGGCCATGGGCGTGGTGATCCTGTTCAGTGAGAGATGCAATTGTGGCTCCCAGATCATACCCGTTTGCCTCGAGGGCATGCTCGATCTCCTCGTTGGTCTTGCGTTCGCCTAGCACTGACCTTAGAATGTCGTAGGGACTCATGTCCGGAGGCGCAACCCATTCTGGAGCAGCAGCACTGAGACCTGTAGACGAGGCGGTGCTCCTTGCATCCTCGTTGACCAGCCAATCGACGTTATCACTGCCGAGATCACCGTATATCTCGGGAGCAGCTGGACGCTCCGAGAAGGAGTAAGTGCTGAGATTGGGACTGTGCGGGATGGGGAGCACTTTTCCCAGCCGCGGTGACGGTCGAGGAGAGGTAAAGGGAGATGCTGTCAGTGATCTGGGCGCGCGAGGAAATCCCCCACGGGGTACGGGGAAGCCAGACTGGGTCGTCACTGGGCTGGACCCAGTGTTCGAAGGAGGAGACAGCGGCGTGGCCGAGCGAGCCATCTGCCACGGCGCCGGGGAGGAGCGGCGAATGACTGTGTGCCGGACGGGAGGCTGCGAGGCATCGGCCATGGACGAGCTGCGGTGCCGCCAGAGGACGTCGAGCACGGCGTTCTCGAGCGCGGAGTCGGTCAGGGACGACTGCTCGCGCAGGAAGGCCTCCAGCTTCTCGGCCTTTTCCTCCTCGTTGTCTTCCTCATTGTTCAGGATGTGCAGGCACAGCTCGTACGTTTCCTCAGACACCATGATGGCGAGGATCTGTCTCGTCCTCCTCCTGGCTGGCGTGTGAATGAAAAAAAGGGCGGGGTGGTTTCACTTTCAGGAGGCCAGAGACGGGCAGGACAGCCAGACAGAAGCTCGCGGCAGAGCAGACAGCAGCAGAGACAGACGGCAGACTGCAAGCTATGAGGAGAAGTGAAGCAGAACCATCATGAGCAGGACGAGAAGAGGCGTGTTTTTGCTGGGTGAGACGGAGGCTGGTTGGCTGCTTGAAACGAGGGTGAGCAGAGGATCCTGGCAGCTGAAGCGACTGGCAAGCATGGCTAGGGACCTACCAGGAGCTGGACGGCAGCTGGACGAGATAACGGGACGCAGAGGACGCGCAGGAAGCCTATCACTGGCAGGTGGACGTTGGTGGTTGGTAGAAGTTGAAGATGCTGAAGATGTTGAAGTTGGAAGTTCGGAAGGTGAAGAAGGCGAAGGAAGATGCGGCGGCTGACGAGGGGAGGAAGTGAGGCAGGACTAAGTATAAGACTCGAGCAGCAACACAGGACAGAGTGGGAGACGAGCAACACAGCCAGCAGCCTCGAGCAGAGATTTCAGGCCCGGGAGACGCTCTGCAGTGCTTTATTTGCCTGCTTTATCTGGTCAGAAGCTGTTCTTGCTGCTGTTTTGTATAGATCTACAGCCAAAACAGACCAGGCGTTGCTACTTTTCTCCTTTCCTCCTTTTCCTCCTTTTCCTCCTTTTCAGTCCGGACCAGCTTGTGTTATTTGTTTAATGCTTAGAGTGAGATCCGGACTCTTCTCTTGTTCTCTTTTTCTTCTCTTCTTCTCTTCTTCTCTTCTTCTCTTCTTTATATTCACTGTCTGTATTATCTTCATCTTCATCTTCATCTCTACCAACATCTACTAACATCACCAACATAACCCCTTAATGGTCTAGATGCAACCCCTTTTTGTGGCTGTGCAGCAACTCCCAGGATGAAAAGTCCACGCTGTTAAATAAGACCTTTTGGCAGCCATCTTGTATATATCTATATCTAAATATTTTTACTTATATCTATATATCTATTTTATATCTGTGTGTGTAACGTTACATGGGCAATGGGATGAGCAGCCATGGAGTCCCAGTCACCCGCTGGACGGCCGCAGCGCTTCTCAGCAGCGCCCTGGTCCAGCGTCTCGCAGCCGGCAGAGTCGAGCTCTGCTCCGAGATCCTCTGCTGGCTGCTGCTGCCGACGCTCTCCAGGGCTGCCGCCGCCGCTGCTGCTAGACGGCCCCAGGGTGCGCCTGCTCGCTCCTCGAGGGCTGGTCCCCTGAGCCTGCGGGACTCGCCCCAGCGCCACGCGGGTTCGGCGCTCTCGCTCTGGGTGGCTGCCCTTTGCATAGTCCTGTCCTGTCTCTCGAGAGCTGAGATCCGTCTTCTAGCGTTCTTCGTGAGTTCTTCTGATACATCAATACCCTCTACAGACAAGATGTAGTTATGGCTATGCTGTTGTTATGTCAAATGGAAGGCTGACCGTACCAGCCAGCGTTGACTCCCTCACTTCTGGCAGTTCAGCGACACTTTGGCTCTTCTTATTCCTCTGTTGCTTCTGCTTCTGCTTCTACTTCCGCCTCTGCTTCTTATTCGTCCTGGCTGTTTTATTCCCTGGCAAATACCCTCTGGGGCACTTCGTTGGTGGCTCTTCTGTTCATTCTCACCCTCTCCGACTGGGACTTCAGGGGCCATGCTCTTTCGGCTCTTCCTGTCCTGGCGCTGTTGGGAGTCTACCTCACTTTCATGCCAAAGTCGGAGAGGAGGAAGAAGGTGTCTCTCCTGCCAGACGTCAACATCGAAGATGCTGTTGTTCCTGTCTCGCTGCGAGTTGTCCCCTTGCTGCTCGTCTCCCTAGGCGTCGAAGTCGCTCTCTTTGGCTTTCCGTCAGGGGGTGCTATCCTCACTCTGATGCTCGGCTGTGCAAAGTCCCTATCCTGGTATTCCATCATTCAAGCAGTATGTTAATATTCAATAATGTCCCGTTCACTTAGCCCTGTTCATGCTTACAGTCTATTTTAGGCTAGATACTCCTCATGGTGCACTGCTGCTGCAACAGGCACCTTTGGCATCATGTCGACCCTTAGCCCCTTTATGCAGTCTTCAGGTACCAAGGCCCTGTCCCATGTAATAGCATCCCTATTCTCCCTAGGTCAGACCATCCACATGCTCCCAAAGCAAGCATCAAACAAATCGGCTCTCTGGGTCTTCTCCCTGGTGTCTCTAGTACCTTATCTAGCCAATATAGTCGCTATCAGGCCTGCAGACTCCCCACAGTATGTCGGTTTCAGAAACCAAGACCATCCCATCGAGACACTCACACACCGAGGCAAGATGAACTTTAGAGAGCTCGTCAAAAGGCAGTCTCAAAACTATACCGCTGCTCATGCCGAATATCA